AAGGGGAAGTTGTGTCTTGACTTGCCAGAGTTCATTAAAGCTTGTGGTTCACTGAAGTAAACAGTTGTAACATGATCCTGTGTTGCCAGTTTCCCTGGTAATGAAAGTTTTATTTAAAAAATCCCCCTCTTCCCCTTTCTTTTGACTTGTCTTCGTCATTATGGAAGCTCTTATGTAACAAAATATCTGAAGACATGAGGTTTATATTGTTGTTTTCATCTTTTAACCTTTCACGCAGAGAAAAAGAGATAATATCAGTTCTGTGCTTTGGCAAATGCGAAGGCAGCTGCTCCTGGAGCTCATGGGAATCCTTCCCACGGTTCGCAGCACACACATTGTTGAAGAAGCAGATGTTGATACAGAGCCAAATGTGTCCGTGTACTCGGGGCTGAAGGAAGAGCATGTTGTGAAAGCCAGCGCGTTGCTGCGTCTCTATTGCGCTTTGATGGGAATTGCTGGCCTGAAGTAATGAATGTTTTAATGCTCTGTTTTTATTCACTGTCTGTTCAATTTAAGCAGAGGTTGGGAGCTTTGGGCAATTTTAGCATGAACTGTCTCCTACTGTCATTGTGTTCTTGAGCGATTCGTGGCAGGATATGCCACTTTTCTCAAGGCTGGAATTGCCAGGTGCGGAAAGTTTCTTTCTCCTTGGAGATAGAACAAATATAATAGAACTCTAAGGTCTGCGGAGACAAGTATTTTTGTGTGTGTGTGTTCCAGTACTACTCTTAGCAGAAAGTTTTTTGGCTTTTGTTTTTTTTCTATTAGTGAAGATCCATGTGTAAACTACACTCTTTTTTTTTTTTTTTGCCAAAAATAATATTAGTACAAGAAAAGCTGTGCGCTATTTAATATTGCAAAATTCAGTCTTAAAAGACACCAAAAAAATGTCTAGACTTCAGCCTTTGGAGCAGTTTGTCGTTCAGAAAACAGCTGAAAACTCTTAACAACTTATCATGCACGGACTTTTAATTTTTCTCCACATTTAGAGTGTGATAGAGTAGTGTCTTCATATGTTATTAGTTTTAATTTTAAGTAGCCTATACCCTGAGGAAGCTTTTCCACTATTGATATCTTTTTTTTTTTTTATGTGAATCTTAAATTCAAAGGCTACTGCCAGCTAAGCTTGATACTCATTTATTGATATTAACTTGGTAAACAGATAACATGAGGTAACAGAGAAAATGCAAGTGATGTTTAAGTAATGATACTGGAAGTCTCTCCACTTTGAAATTAAGCAAGATCTCTTTTTTTCCTGTTTAGACCCACTGATGAAGAGGCTGAGCAGCTACTTCAGCTAATGACCAGCCGTCCCCCTGCCACTCCAGCCGGCGTTCGCTTTGTGTCACTCTCCTTCTGCATGCTTCTGGCCTTCTCCACCCTTGTCAGGTACCTCTCAATAGACAAGGAGCTTTGCAAAGATGCTCCTATTTGAGCACAGTTAAGGCAGTGACATCCCAGAGCTGCACAGCTCTTCTTATTCTTTGTATATATCGCCACACACTGGTTGGAAGGGGCTTGTCTTCTAGGACTGTGAGTAAATGGATGTTTGAGTCTTCTCACACTCTTGTTGCTGGTAAACACTTTTGAGAGGAAAATGTCTGTGTTAGTTTGAAGCGGTGTTTGGAGGCTGTTTTAGGCCTCGGTAATTCACTTTTCCATTGAACAAGTTTGTGGCTAAACTCTTTAAAGATCTTGGACAGAAGAGTAGCAAATTGGTGACTTAGGGGTTGTAGCTTTGTAACCCCTGCTTTCAAGACAGGAAATTGGACTCTTGCACAGACTTCCAGGTGCGTGTTAGGTACCAGTACTTACCCATCTGTGACACGCTCAAGGGATTTAAAAAAATGGTATTAAGATTGCTTCTTCAAATTTTGTTTTTCTGCCTTGTTATTACTAGTAAAACTGTTTTCAGTTACTGAGAAAAAAAAATCTCTTATGGGATTTCTTTGTGCAGTACCCCAGAACAGGAACAGCTCATGGTAATGTGGCTTAGTTGGATGATAAAGGAAGAAGCTTATTTTGAAAGGTAAGAGTAGGCTTTTTCTGTTTTTTTTTTTGTTTTTATTCCAGTAATCTCACATTTATTTAGGCCCTGCTGGAAATTAACTCTTTCCTCTGTATTGATATAGCATCTCTGGTGTGTCTGCTTCTTTTGGAGAGATGCTGCTCTTAGTAGCGATGTATTTCCATAGTAATCAGCTCAGCGCTATCATTGATTTGGTCTGCTCCACTTTGGGAATGAAGGTAAACTCTTGTTTCCACCAAATATATTTCTCTATTAAATGCCTTCTTTTGCTGTATGTTTATACACCTATATTTGATCTTGGACGTAAAAACTGAGTTATTGCTAATATCCTTGAGCTAATATGTACTCAAGACATGAGTAATTGATTAAGTTCCTCTTGAAAAGCATCAAAATGTTCATACAGCTAGATGTAGAGGATGTACCTTCAAAAAGAGCTGACTTGTTGAAATCAATACTTGGAAAATATAAACTTTTTGGAAAGTTAATTGAAAGCCTTCTGAAACTGTTTGGAAAAGTTTTATTTTGAAAAGTTTGAAGAAATACCTATGATATAGTACTTAAACCATTTCTGAAGTTATGAAGAGAGACTCACGTCTGCTCTTCTGTCTTGGAGTACAACAGTAAAGACAGCAGTAAAACAGCAGGTACTGTGTTCTTTGTTTCAGATTGTTATTAAGCCCAGCTCACTGAGCAGAATGAAGACTATCTTCACACAGGAGATTTTCACTGAACAGGTATTTTGAGACAAAGCTTCTTTTGTTTTTAGCTAAATAACTTAAGTTTGACCTAACAAAAGAATCCAAATGCTGCTGGTTGTGGAGAGCCTAGGCCCTTTCTTTTTTGTGTGTTTGTTGGTTATGCTTTTTTGAATGCTTGTGTTCTTTAATTATGAGGAAGCACATGCAGAAAAAATGTCCAGTATGAAACTATTTTTTTGCTACAGCAAGGAATTATGTACAAGTGTAGTGCGTGTGCTACAACTGTACACATACTGCATTACACAAACTACATCAAGAAGTTGTTCAGCTTCCAAACACACAAAACTGAATATATGCTAGAACAGATACAGTTTTGTAACTTTGTTGTGTTGTGCTTATGTATGATGGTTGGGTGAATATTTGTGATATTTTTCTTGATAATTTTAACTTTCCCTTAGGTTGTGACAGCCCATGCTGTTCGTGTGCCTGTTACAGGCAATCTCAGTGGAAATATCACTGGATTTTTACCTATTCACTGCATTTACCAGCTTTTAAGAAGCCGGTCATTCACCAAGCACAAAGTATCCATTAAGGTATAACCTTCATTTTACTTCTGTTTATAACCTAGATGTTAACTAGATTTTGCAGACACTTATTTATCTTGATAAATTTACTTAGAAGTTATAATTTGAGCAGAATTCTACATTAATCTAATTACATTTTACCATGTAATTTGAGCAGGAATACAACTCAATTAAGGTACCCAATTTTAGCTCTTTAATCTCGAGACTGGAACCTAAGGAAGTTATAAGAAAATTATTGCTGTTCCTTTTCTGCACTTATTCTTCTGAGCAGGAGTTTATTATTACCAACCAGGATATATTTTATTGGTAGAGCTGTGCAGGACAGCTCTACCATGATATGAGATTTATGACCATGTCCAACTCAGAGCTGGTATCACACCTTCCTAAATCACAGCCCCTTTCATTTGCCTAGCTAGGTAAAAAGGGATTTATGTGCAAACAAAAAATGCTACTATCCATTTTTGAAACTAAACATATAGAGATATGTTTGTTTTTTTTTCTAGGACTGGATCTATAGGCAGCTCTGTGAAACCACCACTCCACTTCATCCTCAGTTGCTTCCTCTTATTGATGTCTACATTAACTCTATTCTTACTCCGGCATCTAAATCCAACCCGGAAGCCACAAACCAACCTGTCACGGAACAGGAGATCTTGAATGTTTTTCAGGGACTCACTGGAGTAAGAGAAAGAAAAATGCTTTCTAAAAAATACTGGTTCTTTCTAGCAGTAATATGATTTGGAAAGTGAAAGTGCTTTATTTGGCATTGTCATATAACTTTTTTTTCTGACTCGGTTGTGTTACATCAAAAATCTTAGTTAACTGAAACACCCTGCTTAGGTTTGGGAGAAGCACTTTGTTTTTTGAAAGACACATGAGAATGTGTGGCAAGCATTCACTTGCATTAAAATCCTGGGATATGTCAATTTTAGTATCCCAAGATATTAAAAGCCTTTTTTTTTTTTTCCCTTGAAAGGTTTCTTACAACCTTCAAATTGAGCCTTATATAGTTTGATATTTTAATCCAAGGTTTACTTCATTTGCAGGAAAACCCAAATTTTTGTTCTCAAGCATTGTGACTTCTTTATGTGATTTCATGTGCAGGGAGAAAATGCTCGACTTGCTCAGCGTTACAGCATCACAACACGCCTGCTCGTCCTCTACTACGTCCTGTCGTATGAAGAGGCTCTCCTGGCAAATACTAAGACACTAGGTATATGGGAATGCGATCAGCAGGCAACAGCTAAACTGAAAGTTAGATGCAAATACATGAATTCTTACAATAAACAAAGTTCATATTAGTGTCAAATTCAAAACTTGTGTAAGAAGTTTAGATCAGAGTTTATTTGGGAAGTGTAACTCTTGTAATAAAGCAGTGTTACTTTAGAAACTAAGGAGGTGAAAGTTCTACTAAAACTTATGTTTTAAGTTTACACGTTTAAAACTGTCTGTATTCTGTCCCCATTTCCTTATAGCTGCCATGCAAAAAAAACCCAAGTCTTACTCTTCAGCATTAATGGATCAAATTCCAATCAA